TAGATAGATAGATAGATAGATAGATAGATAGATAGATAGATAGATAGATAGATAGATAGATAGATAGATAGATTCCCTATAGAAAGAGCAAGAAAGGAGCATATGGCTTAAGGATTTCACAGAGCCATCCTCACATGGACATAAGCCCTGCTGAATAGGGATGTTTTTGTACCACCCCCACAGAACTACAGAGCATAGGACATCCAACCTGGCCAAGGTGAAAGCCCAATGAAATTTCAGAACTGGAATTGAAGAGAGATGAGATGATGGCACGTGTCTACGCTGTGAACCACTGGCTTTGACAACTGAGGCAGCTCATAAACTGAACACCCAACCTACCCAATACATCAAACAATACATTCCTAGTATTCTTTTGAAGTCCCCAAATATCTGGACCACACCAGGCTGACCAAACCTTCAAGTCAGATCCTCAACAACCTCAAACAGATTGGGTCTCCAACACTGTCACAGTGGCATCACTCAATGGGCAAAACATGCTTTTCATGTGAAGAACCTTTCCAACCATGGAAAAAAGTCATTCCTGACAATCATCAAGAGTCCAACAGAAAAGCAAATTTTCTCTGAGGGTTGCTCGTAAGAGACCAAGATCAGAGAATTATAAATTTTCAAGGACTGAAGCCATTTACAGTCATAGTGGGTAAATGTCAGACTGACAACAGCCAGCCAAACTGAAACATTCAGGTTTTACTTACATTTTATTATCTAATCAGCAATATATTAATTTCTTCTTTCATTATATGTTCTCTAAGAGGGTTTTTTTTAACTTTTCTTTTCTTGGTATTTCCAAAGTTCTCTCTTACAATTTAACATAATAACTTAATTAGTTTTTTTAAAGTTTCTTTAAAATAAACTTTAAAAAAATATATTTTTCATCTTTTCTCCTCAATTCCTTAATTCTTTTTTATAACAGATCTACAAATCTGTTCACAAGGGGATATGAAGACATGATCTGTATTTGGCTATGGCGGCAAGGATTTTCAAGGGAAGACTATATTTTTCTTGATTTGGCTTTTGAAAGTCTTTGTAAAAAAAACCCATTCTGATCAGCAAAAAACTGAGCACTTTGAATCACTAGAGGGAGCCCCTGTACAAGGAATAATTGACTTGAGACTTTTCATCTTCATTTTCTTAGAGAAGAACTCTTGTTCTCGAATTGTATTTTCATACTCAAGTGAGAAAAATAAAAACATTTAAATTTAAACAAAGACAGTAAATTTACTAGATTTTAGATTTACTTATTTCCCATGTTATGAAGATATTAAATAAAATAATAAATATTATTTTATAAGGATTCTACTGTGTAACATTACTAGTGTAAAATTAACAGAATCTGATATATTTGTAATCATAAGGGAAAGCTGTTACACAGAGTGATTACTTGGTATACTAGCTTTTTTAAAGAGTTTAACACACTCAGATTAAGTTGCTGTTACAAGGTTTGTAATACTTTTAAGAGCTTTCTTCCATTTCTTGTGTCTCTTATTACATTATGCAGATTGTTATATAACATTTTGAAGAATTGATAATATTTTATTTTACACCCTACTTTGAAAAGTATAATATTCATTTTTGACCTTGTTTAATGAAAAAATATTCTAAGCATAAAATCACTTTTTATTTCCCACATATCAGCAAGAGAAAATAGAGAAAAAAGAGGCATGCACAGAACAGCCCAATTTCAGATATATTATAGGAAGTTAATAATTGCTTCAATCTATGCTCCAAGTGCTAATGCAACAAAGTTTTATGAAAAACTCTTTCAGTCACTTCTTGAAATTAAAGATGCTTTGGATCTTGGAGATATGAAAGAAGTTCCCTCTCCATATTTGGACCAATCCAATTTATCTAGAAGGAAATGTGGACAAATTCAGTTTATCAAAGCAATTTAGATGGTATGCTACTCCTGTTATTGATAGCTGAAATAGAGAATTCATTTTCTAAAAATGGTTGGAAATGCAATGATCAGGTCAGACTATTTTTATAAAACAAGAATAATATATTAAATTTCTATGCCACCCGATTCCCAGCGACTCTGGGCAGTTATTTGGTGGCAATACTGTAAAGTCCAACAATTCTGGAAGATGATTCATAACAAAATTAAACAAATTCTAAAAGTTGAATTCTCTTCCCAACCAACCATTTTCCTGTTACACATTGGTAAACCTCATATTCCCACAAAGTTGATTTAATTAGTTTTCCATATTGCAACAGCTGACAGAGCATTTTATACTTTTTATTGGAAATCATGAACTATTCCCTCTGTAGAAGAATGATAAATCAAACTGTGGGAATATGCTTCAATGTCTAAAATATTCTTATATCTGAAAAAAATAAACCTGATACAGAATTCAACTGGAAACCATTTTTGGACGATAATTCCACATACAGGCTTGTACCTCATCCAAATTTGAGTTTTTGTAACTAAATCCACCCCTTCATGGATCACTGCCTTGTCGTGGCGAAGGGGCTTGCGTAACTCAGTGAA